TTTTACCACTTTATTTTCATTTTTTTAAACTTTTTAGAGAGAGGGAGAGAGAGAGAGAGAGAGAGAGAGAGAGAGAGAGAGAAAGAGAGAGAGAATTTTAATATTTGTTTTTTTTTTTTTTTTTTTAGTTTTCTGAGGACACAACATCTTTGTTTGTATGTGGTGCTGAGGATCGAACCCGGGCCGCACGCATGCCAGGTGATCATGCTACCCCTTGAGCCACATCCCCAGCCCAACCCTTTTACCACTTTAAGACACAATGTCCCTTCGCTCCAGAGGATGCAGCATCAAAGTACCATCTTGGAAGCAGACAATAACCCTCACTAGAGAGCTGAACCTGCTGACTCCATGATCTTAAACTCCCCTGCAAGAAGAAAGAAACAAAATTCACTAATTAGAATTTAATATAAATATGAACATATTTCCTATTTATTATTTATTAAGTATCTATGTAAGCTTCTCAATGCTATAAAACCAACTTGTGAAAAGAAAAGGTTTACTTTTTATTATAGTTTTGGAGATTTCAGTTCATGATTGTTGACCCAGTTGCTTTGGGCCTGTGACAGCACACCATGGCAAAAGCATGTAACAAGCAAAACCTCTTGCCTCACAGCCAGGGAAAAAAATAAAAACTCCCCAGCCTGCAGAACTGTGAAAAATAAATTTCTGTTAAATTGCCCAGTCTTAGGCATTCTGTTATCATAACACACACACACACACACACACACACACACACACACACACACATATACATACACACAGAGAGAGACTAAGATACTCCTCTTGCAGAGGAAAAGATCAAGGCTGAGAGAAATGAGGGGAACTTGCCCAGCTTACATGGCTGGTGAAGGGGCAGAGCAAGGTCAAAGATTCCAATCTGCTGACTCTCAGGAGCACATATTCCTTCTGTATATGCTCATCCTTATTTTTCAAAGTCTCCATTTCAAGAATCAATCTCCTTACAGTCACATATACTAAAAGGAATTCCACTTCACAATGCCTGGAAGAACATCAAGTGGAAAGTATCCAAACCAGGGAGAAACCATTCCCTTCATTTTCCTCTGCATGGTCAGTTCAGACTRGTGTGTGGCAGGGGAGGAGGTGTGGAAGGCTGGATAATTTGGTGTCAGCAAGTTCTTTATCTTTCTATACCAAGAAAGTACCACAGTTACTGACTTTTTGGTGAAACCAGAATCCAAAGCCATTAAAGTGGAGCTGTGATTCTGGAGAAGAAATAACTTGATCCAGCAACTGCAAGTTTATTTGTACAGAGCTTCTGGAGGCATCTTGTTCTTCATGGTCATAAATTGAACACATTACTGAAGCTCAATGGTCCGGCTATGTAGCAAGTAAGGGATGTGCACAAGTGTGCACATGTGTGTAAAAGCACTGCGCAAACACTAAAACATGTACAAAAGGAAAAAAAAAAATCCATGGCTCTTTCCCATAGTATTCTGTTCTTTCTCCTCTATCATGGATTAGACCCAGAGAAAAAAATATGGGTCCAAATCTCCAGATTTGAAGTTTTCAACCTTGCCTGTCTAGTAAAATCACCTGGAGTTTTGAAAATAATATTGATGCCTGAACTTTACCTTCAGAGATTCTGTTTCACTTTATCTGGATGAGGCCTAGATATATGATTTTTTAAAAYTCCCCAGATAGCTAACCTACATCTAGGGTAGAAAATTACTTACATATACTTTCTTATTGTTTTTGGTACCAGGGATTGAACTCAGGGGCACTCAACCACTGAATCACATTCCCAGCCCGATTTTGTATTTTATTTAGAGACAGGGTTTCACTGAGTTGCTTAGCACTTCACCATTGCTGAGGCTGGCTTTGAACTTGTGATCCTTCTGACTCAGCCTCCTGAGCCGCTGGGTTTATAGGCACGTGCCACTGCACCTATCTTACATAGAATTTTAAGCAGATTTCCTGACTACTGAGATCCATTCTTGTGCTATGATTATTTTGTAACCATTTATGGCCAAATACACTTAAAATGTAGACATTTACTGCATTCATTCAATTTAATAGAAACTTGTTGAATGCCTTCTGGCCCACAGTCAGATGGACTGCAATAGGTGTGTGTGAATGGAAATGTCCTCTGCCCTAGAAGAGCATAGGGCAAAATAAAGGGCTCTGTCACTTACACAAATAACTACTGTCTAGTTACTAAAGGGAGCAATTACTTTCTGCTAGAAAAATTCTAAGGGCCTCATGGAATAGAACCTTAAACATTCTGTAGTATGTAGGAATACTTTTAATAATTTTAGGAGAAGATTCCTTTGAAAAGGAAACTCACTTGATTGAAAAGTTGCTTTGATAAGTCCACCATGCTTTAACAATAAGTCTTAGACTAGCATTTGGGTTTGGAATATAGAAACTTCTCTATATAAGAGAGTGGGAAGAGGGGAGCAGGGATGAATGCTATGTGGGGAAGTGGTTACAAGAACACTCAGTGAGTTTCTGACCAAGAACAAGGATTCATAGATCATTTTTAATAAGAATTTTAAAGACAAAGTATTATGGAATATAAGCAAATCTGTCCCTAGAATCGGTGCCTCACAGCTGGCCTGTCAGACCCTCTCTTCTCATCTCCCAATTTCTTGCAAATAACAGGTCTCAGTCCTAGGGAGGTGCTCTGGGCTGCCATCCCCTGGGCCCCTGGGCAGTGACCGGACAGGTATGGGGTGACACCAGACCCCCCCCCCGTGCCGTTTCCTCAAGAGGAACCCACATGTTGTCCTGTGTCCCTGCGCCATGTTGTACCTACATGACCCGTGAGATCCCCATCATGTACCCTGACCAACAGGCCACGGAGAGACGCGAGGGGGCTCCTGGTCTCGCAGGACGATGTGGCCACCAGTGCACCCCCSTCGCAGGAGCTCGCGCTGGTCTCTGAGACCCTCTGGAGCTGGAGGCCGCTCTCCTCAAGGCCAGATGCGGGGCGTACACGTCAGGTAGAGCCACCTGAGATTTGGTCGGCCTCTGCGGAGTCTCAGCACACGCCGCCTCCCCCGCGGTTCTCCCTGGGGTGAACTCCTGCAAGATCTTCGGGGTCTGGAGGCGCAGGGGCAGCAGCTGCCACAGAAGCGCTGGGACCACCCTAGACGTTGGACCCGAGCACAGCATCCTGTCCTGCAGCCCCTGCGCAAGGGAGGCCCCGTGGTCATGGGCCCAGTGAGTTTGCGTCACCTGTGCCCTGTGAGTGCGCGGTGTGCGCTTCGGTCCCCGGAATGGCCTTCAGGGCGCACTGCGGCCACCATCATGGGTCCCCGTCCTGTGGTGGCTGCCGGCAGCCTGAGCTGGGGTCCTTTCGCACCTCCCGATCTTCCTCTTTGACATCCGCGCTCCCTCCTGAGTGCCCCAGACCCCCTCAGACAGCAGCCCATGAGACCTGCCAGGCCCCACTGTTGTGCAAGGTTGAACACATGCGTGTGTGTGTGTTTGCCCACGCACACACCCGAAGAAGACGCATCCGTGCTTATGTGCAAGGGTACACCCGTGTGTGCGTGTGTATGTGGCTGTGTATGTAAAATACGCATTTCTATGTCTGGGCGTGTATCCACCTTAGGATTCCCCAGGGAGGCCCAACCTGGGGTATCTGTGGGTCAGTGACCACTGTCTGGACCGTCCACTTGCCTGTGTGTCCATCTACCACCTCTAGTGACCGTTCTGTATCTGCATTGATTCCTTTATTACATGTTTACCTGGGTGCTGAGGGGTCTCCAGGGAAAGCAAACCTTTAGGTACCCATCAATCATCTACCTCTGTGTCTGTCCATCCACCAGATCCGACTATCCGTCCACCCATCCACCCATCCACCTATCCACCCATGCACCCACCTACCCATCTGTCCACCCACCGTCCATCTGTCCATGAACTCTGCCATCTGTCAATCATCTATCCATCCATCCATCCATCATTTCCCTATCTTATCTCTCTCCCAGATCCATCTATCCATCTGCCCATCATCTGTCCATCCCCCTGGGCTGCCCCTCCTAWGGTCCCACCACCTCCCAGTAGGGTCACCCCAGGACTGAGCCTTCAACATGAGCTTTGTTTTGGGGGTAGACACTCCAGATGTACATGGTGACCGAGGTCAAGGACAGCTGTCAGAGAACTTAGGCAGAGTGTCCTCCGGGGCAGGACGATGCTGCTGTGGCCCAGACCCCGGGCAGGGGGTTGAGCAGTGGCATTATCTCTCTGGCTGCTCAAGCTSAAATGAGAAGCAAATTATCTCCAAGGATCAGGTAAAGGAGGAAATGTCACTGAGAGTCATAAACAAATGCAGATGGAGGTCCCTTGAGAAACACTGGCGGCAGAGGAAGTCAACACATTACAACATGCATTGCAAGCCCCGAAGATGAGGGTGGAAGTGGGCAGGCGCCGGGCCCACTCTGCAAGCCGCGTCCTGCCCCCTGTTCTGGCCGGAAGGGGATAAATTTCCCAACTCCAGGAATTTGTGGCGGAAAGGGCCAATAACCACGGCTCTCCCACGCCCCGATACTCGCACCATGTGGAGGCGCAAGCAGGCGAGACTCCAGCACATCAACTTGGAGGAGGACCAGGGTGAGCAGCCTCGGCAGCAGTCGACTCAAGAGTTGGCAGATGCGGCCCCAGCAGCACCGGCGGCGGGGGAGCAGGGTGAGTGGGGCTGGAGTGCCCACTGGGGCAGTGTAGTTTCCCAGACGTTCGCGGGACCCTCGAAGGCACGGGCTGCCTGCGATGCGCTGCGGCTTCTAGTGTGGATTCTGGAACCGGGTTCTGGGGACACCCTCTAAGGGAAGGGAGGCAGCCTCATCACCCCCACCTCCGTCTTTGCAGATTTTACACTTTTTTTTCCTCTTCTCTCTTGTGTGTTTCACCCCCAGTTCTTTCCCCTCTTATTGTCAAGTTGACCCCCACTCTCTGCTGTCTCCCTCACTCCTAAAAGGGTTTCCTCTCCTAGTCCTCAGCTTCTTTCTTAATTGGTTCCTCTCCTTTAACTAGTAAGCTACTTCCAGAGACAGGGGAGGCAGAGCACGAAGACCTAAGCTCCCCCCCCCCCCCCCCCCCCCCCCCCCCCCCCCCCCCCCCCCCCCCCCCCCCCCCCCCCCCCCGTAACTTCGGTTCCCCCTCCCTCTTTGGCACCGGCTTTAAAAGAAAGAGACCCCAAGGCTCTCCTCCTTGTCCACTACCCCTTGGGGGCTTTTGTAGGAGGGTGGAGGAGGGTCGCACCCTTGAAAGACGCCCTGGAGGAGGGCGATCTGTTGCACGCGCCCCGCCCAGGCCAAGTAGGGGAGAGGGCGCGACCTCTGCCCACCCGCAGGGGTTGGGGTGCTGGCCACCCGCGCTGTGGAGGGGGCTGGAGCGCCCTGAGAGTTCGTGGAGAAGAAAACTCTATTTCTTCTTTCATGATTTTTTCTTTTTTTTTTTTTTCTGTTGGTTTTAGTCTTTTCCCTGAGGCTATGCCTCCTGTCGATCTTTGCCCTAACCTTTCCTGGCCTGACCTCCGCTATCTTTGATTTCCGACTTCCTAAAAATAACCAAGGTAACCAGAGGAGTACTGGCCCCAGGGGACCAGGGCAGCTGGCGCACAGCAACCCCGCTGGCTTTATTTTGCCACGCTCTTTGAGAATGCAGTTGGGGTGGGGAGGAAAATGAATTCCAGGTAATAATTAGCAAGTCAAAAAATCTGCAGGTGGTCGGGGAGGGAGTTTACACTACTTACAGAAAATTAGCATTTTCTCAAAAGGGTTTCAAATTCCCTTTGTGCTAAACTGGATTACAACCATCWATGATTAAGATTCCCAAGTTTCAAGTAACTTCCTAAAATGACCTACACTGGCTTTAGTGAGGTTTCAGGCCAATTCATCTGAGTTCTCCCCACACACAAGAAGAGGAGACTGCAATTTGCCCACAACCCAGTTTTATTTATTAAAAATAAATTGCATTGTTAAATACGTTTTTCAAATGTAAGAGCCAGGCCCTACACTCCTGTGTTCAAGTCAGTTACACTTGTGTGGCTCCTTCAGTTAGTGAGTTTCCTTGTAGGTAGGGGCTGGGAACCATTTTGGGAGGCTGGAGATGATTAGCTTTTCCTCTTTTGAAATGTGAAGTGTTGGTGGGTGCTAGGGAACTGTTGATGGTGTTTTTTTTAAGGCATTAGAGCAGGGGATGTGTTCCTGTTGAAAGGGTAAAGTTTCTAAGCTGGAAAGCTTGAATTAAAATGTAAAAGATTAGGTATTATTAAATTCCTCTATTACACCCAGATTCCTGAGATAGTTAAGACAACGCCCTACTGGCCATTTAGCCTAGGGCCCTGTGCAGTTGGTCACAGGGCCTGAACCAATCAGTTTGAATGTGTACCCCGCTTAGGAATGACCAATCTCCCCCGCCCGACCTGTTCCCGCCAATGAATGTGCCAATCACATCTCAGAGTTGTTGTTCAATTTTCCTGCGCCTCATGATGATTTGTTCTGATGTATGCAAAGCCCACTGCCCTCTCCAGAAAGTGTACTTAAGCTCTTCTTGACCTCTGCTCTGGGCTCTGGGCTGCTCTCCCTTCCTGAGTGAGCCTGGAGCCTCAGCGCGCTGAATTAGGATCCTCTTCAATAAACTCCCTCCTGCCCATTGCATGAAGCTGGTCTCTTGTGGTCTCCTTCTCCAATGATTCACCGGATCCTTACACTGTCTGTTTGCATGAGCTTCAGCAGTGTGAACAGGAGGCAAACTTCAATTTTTTTTTCCCCCTGAGTTTTTGGGTTCCTTATTACAACAGTGATGATAGTTAGATTATTTGCATTGTAGAAATGTGTTAGGAATGAGAACAATAAATTTGTTAAATAGAAAATGTTTTTAGTTTTACTATTGTGTCAGGATGGTGTTGTGCTGCTCACTGAAATTGAAAGGATAAAAAAAATTTAAATGTAAAGGATAAGGTTTGTCCTGAAAAGTTTTTTAAGTTGCATTCGTAACGTGAAATTCATGTGGCAGTAAAACAATTCCCGGAACTGCCCATTAGATGTGTGTCGAAATCTCCCCTGACCACCTAGTTGCACAACGAGAACAACCCCATTTCCTCAGAAACCCGTGCAGTCCCACACGTATACACCTCAGGGCTTAAACCAATCAGTTTAAATATATACCCATCTTAGTACTGACCAATCACCCCCACCCACCTGTTCCCACCAGTGAATGTGTTAATGTTTTAGAGTTGTTATTTGATTTTCCCAAGGTATGTGATGATTTGCTACAGGATGCTATGATATATGTAAAGTCCCTGCCCCCTCCAAAGAATGTATATAAGCTCTGCTCAAGTTGTTCCTGGGCCTCTTTGTTCTTTGCTCCTCTGAAGTGAGCTCTGAGCCCCAGCATGCTGGACCCCCAATAAACCCTTTGCTGTTGCATGAGACAGTCTCTTGGTGGTCTTTTCCTCCGATGTTTGCCCGACCTTTAAAAAATAATTCTGCAGAGAAAATAGCCTGCTCTGTGGTCTACCCAGTCTGGACCTCAGGTACATGATTTTTAGTTCTCACAACCAATTGTGGCTTCAGGTTGGGATGATTTTTCCCATGGTGCCTGGCCTGCTTGGTTTTTTTTCAGCCTTGCCCTAATCACAAGGGGTTGCGTTTGTGGTGGTCTTTGAGCAGTTGGTAGTGGGATGGGGTTATCTTTCTTGTTTCCCAGATGAAAAAGACATGTCTAGTGTTTGAAGCTGGTTGGGTGTGATAATAACCCATTCAATTTTTCGAATATGCCCTTCCAGGATTTAGATGAAGAGGTTCTAGGGAAGCAAGTTGGAAATGATGTTGGCACTTGGTTTCTTTGAGCCTTACTTCTCTGGAGAAAGTAATAGTGTTATGCTCAAATTTGGGACCCCCAAAGACCACCAGAGACCCAAGATCAATGCAAGCAGCAAAGAGGTGTTCATTGCGAGCTAGCTCGGTCCTCCGTGTGCACACACACAGCAACTGGTGACACTGAGAGGCCCAAGCCCAGGGTTTGCAGCAGTTTTATACATTCTTTGGAGAGGGCAGGGACTTCACATACATCATAGCCTCTTTTAGCAAATCATCACACACCACGGGAAAATCAAATAACAACTCTAAAACATGATTAGCACATTCACTGTCGGGAACAAGTTGGGTAGGGGTGATTGGTCAGTACAAAAGGGGTATTCATTTGAACTGATTGGTTTGAGCCAAGAGGGGTGAACGTGCTGAACTAC